TCCTGGTAGGTGAGGGGGAGGAGGGAGAGAGAGGAGAGAGCGAAGAAAGATGGGGAGGAGAGGGAGAGGAGGAAAGAAGAGAGAACAAGGACTCGGGAATGAGAGAGGGGAGAAGAGAGGGGAAGGTGAGAGAGTGAGGGAGGAGAGAAAGGAGGTGAGGTAGAGAGACATTGATATCAGTATTTCTAGGAGAGAGAGAGGGGGAAAATAGGAGAGGTAGAGAGAGAGGAAAGATGGGAAGGAGGCAGAGAGAGGAGGAGATACGAGAGAGAGGAGAGAAAGGAGTAAGGGAGAGAGGCATTGATATCAGTATTTTAAAATGTTGTCCTTCTTTTCTTGACCATGAATTGGTGGAATTCTGGCCCGTTCCTCCTGACAGAACTGTGACAGAGCCTCAGATGTCCAGTCTGGTTGTGGCTCAAGGGAACATTGGGCCTCATTCACCAATAGCTTCTTAGGAAACTTCTTACATTTCTTCTCAAGTTGTTCTTAAGTAGATTTCTAAGAAGACCCTACGTGGGATTCATCAACGCACTCGTAAGCCGCTGAATTGTTCGCAGCTGTTCTCTCAGATTGATGAATGCCAATTAGCATAGGTACTTAGCATAGGTAACCGCCCATTAATGCCCATATAAGGAACTGCAGGGCCGTGTGCAGACGCCAGAGGAAACAGCAACAGGCCTAAAGCAAAGAGTTACACGGAGCAAAAGAGTCAACCCTTTTTTCTTCTTTTGCCAGACTGAGATTAAAGTTATAATATGTTGACTTTAAAGTCGAAATATTATGAGAATAAAATTGAACTAGCAAAATCATGAGATTAATCTAAAAATATTATAAGGTTAATCTCAAAATATTTTGGACCCTGGGAGGAGATCCAGCGCGGACTATAGCGCTGAAACCAATGCAGACCCTAGGAGAGACTGGAGAGACCAGCACACAGAAACCAGCGCGGACCGAGGAGAGACCGCATGGACTGGAGAGACCATAGACTGGAGAGACCATAGACTGGAGAGACCATAGACTGGAGAGACCATAGACTGGAGAGACCATTGACTGGAGAGACCATAGACTGGAGAGACCATAGACTGGAGAGACCATAGACTGGAGAGACCATAGACTGGAGAGACCATAGACTGGAGAGACCATAGACTGGAGAGACCATAGACTGGAGAGACCATAGATTGGAGAGACCATAGACTGGAGAGACCATAGACTGGAGAGACCATAGACTGGAGAGACCATAGACTGGAGAGACCAGCGCGGTCCTGTAATAGATCTATAGGAGAGACTCAGAGCGGACCCCACAACCTCCTGCAGCAGCGGTGTATATTCCATTGTTCTGTGGCCCGTGGATGGAGAAATGTCCCCTAGAAATAGGATGGGGTCCCTAATACACGGCATGATTTCCAATGTATTTGATAAAACGTTGGCACATTTATTTTACAAATCAATTTTAAAAATAGGCTAAATTACCATAAACAATGAAATGAATAAATACATACATCAATATGACAAACATATCACTGTAATGTTGTGTTTTATTGAATTTTACAACACCAGCGAACATGTCGGCACTGAATGTGCGTGAGAGTGCTCCTGAGCACTCAGAGGATCGGTACGTACTCAAGAGAAATTCTGGTTTGAGAAATATCTGTTAATGCCACATTCTTCGTAAAATCCTCGTAAGTAGGATTTACGCACACATTTGTTCTTAAGAACCGTTCGTGAATGAGGCCCAGGCGGAGATGCTACTACTACTACAACTGCTACTACTACTACTACTACTATTACTACTACTACTACTACTACTACTACTACAACTGCTACTACTGCTGACCCAATTACTCTTACAGCAACCAAAGAGCCAATCAGGATCCAGGCTGTGAAAATACCATCACTATACAGAACATTTGAAAGTCTTTTTAGTATTTTATCATTTTGTGAAACTATCCTGGAGCCAAAGGAGCCGGCGATACGTTCAAAGACATGCTAATACTCGGGTTTTCCCACCGCTATACATTTAATAAACATAAAGAGAGATTATAATCCGATCAGAGGATTACGGGCCCTGCGCTGTAATTAAATCAAAAATAACGCTGTATTTTGGTCTTTTTAAAAAGCAGGGACTTAAACGAAGAGAAGGACTAATTAATGGTGGAGTTTGGGAGAAAGACAAACTGAAAAATGAATGAGACACAAGAGCAGAGCGTGTTTCAGATCCACAGTGAAGAGAGGAGGCCCGGGGACGAGAGAGAAGCACGGTCTCTGCTTCGGTCTCTATTGTAGACCGGTTTTTGGCTCAGCTTTAGTCCCGCATTAGAACGGTTTAGAAGAAGAGAAAAGCAGAACCTCCGTCTCTGAGCTCCTCTCTCTCTATTGACATTAGCAAACACTCTCCGGTCTCTCTCTCCCTAGTCGCTCTTGAGTCTCTCTCTGCTCTCTTCGGTCTTTCTTTCTCTCCCTCTCCCTGGTCTCTCTTGCCTCTTTCAGCTCTCTCTAGTCTCTCTCTGGTCTCTCTCTGGTCACTCTCTGGTCTCTCTCTGTGTAGGAGCCAAAATGTACCTTTCACTAGCCACAAGGTGTCGCTGTTGGCATTATGTGACCTGAGCCCATTCTCCAATAAAAAGGGCAGAATTAGAGGGCACAGGTGCTGCTAGGTTTGAAGGTAAACTGTTTCTTACCGTGTCAATTACTGTGGAATGTATTATGTTATTTGGATTAATGGTTATAGGGGCCAATAAAGAAACCTCTAATACACTATTTGGACTGTGGTTTGTGGAGACCCGCGTTTGGGAAACCCTTAAAATATTAGCAGCCAAGAGGCGATCTACAGGCAACATCTTCTCCTCTACACTCTGGTCTCTCTCTAGTCTCTCTCTAGTCTCGCTCTGGTCTCTCTCTGGTCTCTCTCTTGTCTCTCTCTGGTCTCTCTCTGGTCACTCTCTCTCTCTCTGGTCTGTCTCTAGTCTCTCTCAGGTCTCTCTCTTGTCTCTCTCTGGTCTCTCTCTGGTCACTCTCTCTCTCTCTGGTCTGTCTCTAGTCTCTCTCAGGTCTCTCTCTTGTCTCTCTCTGGTCTCTCTCTGGTCTCTCTCTGGTCTCTCTCTGGTCTCTCTCTGGTCTCATTCTGGTCGCTCTCTAGTCTCTCTCTGGTCTCTCTCTAGTCTCTCTCTAGTCTATCTCAGGTCTCTCTCTGGTCACTCTCTGGCCTCTCTCTGGTCTCATTCTGGTCACTCTCTGGTCTCTCTCTGGTCACTCTCTGGTCTCTCTCTGGTCTCTCTGGTCTCTCTCTGGTCTCTCTCTAGTCTCTCTCTGGTCTCTCTCTGGTCACTCTCTGGTCTCTCTCTAGTCTCTCTCTAGTCTCTCTCTAGTCTCTCTCTAGTCTCTCTCTAGTCTCTCTCTAGTCTCGCTCTGGTCTCTCTCTGGTCTCTCTCTGGTCTCTCTCTAGTCTCTCTCTAGTCTCTCTCTGGTCTCATTCTGGTCACTCTCTGGTCTCTCTCTGGTCACTCTCTGGTCTCTCTCTGGTCTCTCTGGTCTCTCTCTGGTCTCTCTCTAGTCTCTCTCTGGTCACTCTCTGGTCTCTCTCTAGTCTCTCTCTAGTCTCGCTCTGGTCTCTCTGTGGTCAATCTCTCTCTCTCTGGTCTGTCTCTAGTCTCTCTCAGGTCTCTCTCTGGTCTCTCTCTGGCCACTCTCTGATCTCTCTCTAGTCTCTCTCTGGTCTCTCTCTGGTCTCTCTCTGGTCTCTCTCTGGTCTCTCTCTGGTCTCATTCTGGTCACTCTCTAGTCTTTCTCTGGTCAATCGCTGGTCTCTCTCTGGTCTCTCTCTGGGCCCTCTCTCTCTGGTCACTCTCTGGTCTCTCTCTGGTCTCATTCTGGTCGCTCTCTAGTCTCTCTCTGGTCTCTCTCTGGTCACTCTCTGGTCTCTCTCTGGTCACTCGCTAGTCTCTCTCTAGTCTCTCTCTGGTCTGTCTCTAGTCTCTCTCAGGTCTCTCTCTGGTCACTCTCTGGTCTCTCTCTGGTCTCATTCTGCTCACTCTCTAGTCTCTCTCTGGTCACTCTCTGGTCTCTCTCTGGTCTCATTCTGGTCACTCGCTGATCTCTCTCTAGTCTGTCTCTGGTCTCTCTCTGGTCTGTCTCTGGTCTCTCTCTCTTCTCTCTCTGGTCTCTCTCTGATCTCTCTCTAGCCCCTTTCTGGTCTCTCTCTGGTCTCTCTCTCTGTTGTTTGTTTCGCGGCTTTTTTGGTATGTCTTGCTTTGTTGTCTTGTAGTTCTTTTTTCTTGTGTCTTTTTGCTTGTTCCCCATGCGCCGCCTTTTTTCGGCTTTTTTTTCTACCCGCATTGTTTATTTTTTTCTTTTTTTTTCTTGTTTGTTTGTTATGTTTTTCTTTGGTCTTTCTCTTTTTCTGTCAAGACCAGACACACGGCGAAAGGGGTTTGGGTGAGGCTGGTGTAAAGAATGCAGATTTATTTATATGCTGCCTCGTTTGTTTGTCTTTGCTCTCTCGGCGCCTAGTTGTTGGCTAGATGAGCAAGGAGAGGAGGTTGTCTGATTGCTTATCAGTTTGGAGAATATGCGTTGATAGCGTCCCCTAGCAGGATGGAGGGAGTAGAGAGGGGAATGGGGCCTTTTGTATATTGCGAAGATTGGATGTTGTAGTGGTGACAGCAGACCGGGGAATATGAGGAGACCGGGGAAAGGACTTGGAATATAGGGGAGCTTGGCCAGCTGTCTCTCGCATGCAGGAAAGAGAAAAAAGACCAGGTGGTGTTAATGCAGAGGTAGCCCTTTCTGGAAGCGGTGGCGCGACCTACGCGTCTTGGTTGGACTATATGTAATAAAGTCCGATATGTTTATTTGTTAATTCAAGATAAGAAAGCTAAGTAGTGTGGGTTTTGTGCCATGGACACAGGTTGCAGTGATTGCGTTGCTCTGAAGCGTCAGTCAATATAGTAGCAAGAGGGGAGATATGGGGTACAATGGAGTTTTTTTTGATTGGCAGGGCGATGCGATTTGGTGGGGGTTGTGGTAGGTTTGTAGGACGAGCCGGGATGAAAGGCAAAGAGCGGGAAGAAGGGAAAGAAGGGTGGGGAAACCAGTGGAGGAAAAGTAGAAAAAAGAAAGAGAAGAGAGAAGGAGCAACGGGAAGATTTTGCTATGAAAAGGAAAAGCATAGATGATGGAAATGCTGGGAGGGATGCACCAGTAGGCAGTAGCTGAAAACAGTTGGTTTGGCCATAGTGACCGCAGTGCCGATAGGAGTAGTGGATGTCAGCGGGGTTTGCAAGGTGTGCTACCAGATGCCGGATAGAGGATGGGTATGTCACAGGTTTTCGCATGAGTGACCGCGGACATGGAGGGAGTTAGGGTGCCGATAGAGCGATAGATGTGCACGGTTAGAATCCCAAGGTGAAACACAGGGGATGTTCCAGTAGAGAAAGGGGGTGTTCACCGTTGGGTCCAAGGTGACGCAGGTGCCGATAGTGATGGGATGTCTAGACTGTTTTTCGCAAGGTGGTGACGATCGCATGACGGGGGGGGGGGGGTGGGGAGACAGTGAAACAATTACCGACTGAGAGGTGATTGGTCGCAGCATAGGGGCGGGGGAAGGTAGTGTACGAGTAGACGGGGAGGGGGTGGGTGAGGGAGGAGAGGGGGGGGGGGGAGAGAAAGAAAGAGAGTGAAGTGGTGGAGGTATGAAGGGATGTGGCGTAGGCACTTAGTGGAGGCGGCGTGATATCGACGACGCAATAGAGAAGTACGCACTGTAGAAAATACCAAAACGATGTAGTAGGTAGGAGGGTTGGAGAGGGCGGGAGGAGGGGGAGGGGGGGGAGGGTGTGGTATATGGGGGGTGGTGGGGGGTGGGGGTAATTGGGGGGGGGGAGGGGGGGGGGGATAAGGGGGGGGGGGGGGGGGTTGTTTCAGGATATATATATGGAGGGGGGGGGGCGGGGGGGGATATGGCGAGGTTGGGGGGGGGGTAGGGATAGGGGTAGATGGGTGGATTGATTGGGGAAGAGGGTTCAGGCGGCGGAGGGGCGGAGGGGGGGGAAGGGGGGGGGGGGGCGAGGGACAGTGGGGGGGGTGGAGAAGGTGGGCAGGGTGGGAGGGGAAATAGGGGGGTGTGGAGGCGGGATGGGGCTTATGATGAGAGGAGAGGAGGAGGGGTGTAGGAGGGGGGGGAGGGAGGGGACGAGGGGGGAGGGAAAACGGGAGGGGGGGGAGGAAGGGAGAGAAGGGCGAAGGGGGTGGGGTCTGGGGAAGGGTGGAGAAGGGGGGAGGGGAAGGGGGGGAGCGGGGGGAGGGGGGGTGGAGGTAGGTGGAAAGGGGGTATATTAGGGGGGGGGGGTTGGGGGGGGGGGGGCGAGGGGGTGGTGGGAGGAAGGGATACGAGGAGGGGGGGGGGGCGGGGGTGAGGGGAGAGGGTGGTAGGGGGGGATTGGGAGGACGGTGGGGTGAAAAGAGCGAGGAAAGGGGGGGTGGGGGGGGAGGGGGGGGGGGGGGGGTGCGAAGGGGGGGGATAGCGCGGAGTGGCGAGAGGTCGGGGAGGAAGGGGGGAGAAGGCGGATAGTTGGATGTCTAGATGGGTTTACATATTTGTTTATTGTGGTGGATGTGGCGGAAAGTTTAATCACTGAGTAAGTGTTTAATATCCTCGTTGGTGGTCGATGTGTTCACTTTTCTTATCTTACTGATTTCTTGGCTTCGTCACTTCTTCATCGTGAATGTTCTTTTATATCTGTCCCTGTGCTCTCGTTGTTCTCTCTGTATTTTTTAGTCTTGATTTCTTTTTTGTGTTCTCCAATTATCTTCCTTCTACAATTTTTTTCTTGTTTTCTTATTTTCATCACCACATTTGCATTTTTCTTTTTTAATTCTTCCTTCTTTTCTTTTTTTTTTATTTTGTTTGTTTTAATTTTTTTACATTTTGGGTCAGACTCTTCTTTGTTTTTTCAATGTCTTTTGATGTTTTTTTCTCGCTTTCTATTCACATCATGGAATTATAGTAATGCCGGCTGCTTAACATCTGTGCCTTTCCATTATAAATTCTTTCATTTTTATTCCGTGGCAATTACTGTTGGACTCAGCTCCTACTATCTCTCTTGCTCTCTTCCTTTTTCGCCTCTCGGCATTTCTCCATTTTTTGATTTTCTCGTTCCTTCTTCGATTCCTTATCACTTGTTTATATCTTCCCCTTATTTTACCAATTTCTCCCCTCCCCTCTCTCTCCCACTCTCCTCACTTTGTTATTTTTTCTCTTATCTGTCCCTCTCATATCTACAGTGCTCTCTCCTGGCTTTCTCACCCAATTTCTCGACGGAATCACAATATACTAGTGGAGACCAGAAAAAGAGACGAGAGAGAGGGACCAGAGAGAGACCAGAGAGAGAGGGACCAGAGAGAGACTAGAGAGAGAGAGACCAGAGAGAGAGAGAGACCAGAGAGAGACTAGAGAGAGAGAGACCAGAGAGAGAGACCAGAGAGAGAGAGAGACCAGAGAGAGACTAGAGAGAGAGAACACAGAGTCATACCATACCAATTACCTGCCCTCACTCAGCCAATCAGCTCTCAGCCCAAAGAGTCAAATAGTGACTCACAGGGACAGTTTACTTCATCAACTCTCTTTCTGAAAACGTGCTGCATTTTGAGCACATATTAGAAAATGACAGTTGTTATTTTAGAAGCATGGCTAACCACAGTAAAATATAAATGGGTCTAAATCCAGAGTCTGCAGTAATGACAGGATTTGCTTGTTTCCCAAACAATTATAGTACTTTTTCGGTTTATAGTGTGTAATCATGTGACATCACAAAGTCCGTCCTGGTAACTGTAGTAACTGTAATAAGTGTAATTCTTGTCTTAATTTGGAGCTAAACTCTCAGTCTCTGCTCCAGTCTCTGCTCCAGTCTCTGCTTCAGTCTCTGCTTCAGTCAGTCTCTGCTTCAGTCTCTGCTTCAGTCTCTGCTTCAGTCTCTGCTTCAGTCTCTGTTTCAGTCTCTGTTTCAGTCAGTCTCTGCTTCAGTCTCTGCTTCAGTCTCTGCTTCAGTCTCTGCTTCAGTCTCTGCTTCAGTCTCTGTTTCTGTCTCTGCTTCAGTCTCTGTTTCATTCTCTGCTTCAGTTTCTGCTTCAGTCTCTGTTTCTGTCTCATCAAAGCTGTGGCGATCTCTCTCCCCCCTCTCCCCCCTCTCCCCCCTCTCTTCCCCTCTCCCCCCTCTCCCCCCTCTCCCCCCTCTCTCCCCTCTCTCCCCCTCTCCCCTCTCCCCCCCTCTCCCCTCTATCTCGCCCCTCTCCCCCCTCTCTCCGTGTGGTCGCTGCTTCCCTCTTCAGACGTGTAAATGAGTCACTTTAGTCCAGTCACTGCTGCCGCCGTCCGACGCTTGTCTTTTTCAGGCGCGAAATGTTTTATTAACAGAGACGACCTGTCCTCGCTACCGTTACCATGGCAAAGTGCCTCTGCTGTCTCCATGGTGATGTGGCCTTTTTCCTTTTTCTTTTTTTTTTGGGGGAGAAATCTGTTTTTTCCCCTCTCTGGGTTTCGTCAGCGAAGCGTGCTGCCGCGTCCATCACCTGTCACAGCCCCCCCAGACGACCCTGTTTTAGACCTGCTTTAGACCTGTTTTAGACCTGTTTTAGTCCTGTTTTAGACCTGCTTTAGACCTGTTTTAGACCTGTTTTAGTCCTGTTTTAGACCTGTTTTAGTCCTGTTTTAGACCTGCTTTAGACCTGTTTTAGACCTGTTTTAGACCTGCTTTAGACCTGCTTTAGACCTGCTTTAGACCTGTTTTAGACCTGTTTTAGTCCTGTTTTAGACCTGCTTTAGACCTGTTTTCGACCTGCTTTAGACCTGTTTTAAACCTGTTTTAGACCTGCTTTAGACCTGTTTTAGACCTGCTTTAGACCTGTTTTAGTCCTGTTTTAGACCTGCTTTTGACCTTTTTTAGACCTGCTTTAGACCAGTTTTAGTCCTGTTTTAGACCTGCTTTAGACCTGTTTTAAACCTGTTTTAGTCCTGCTTTAGACCTGCTTCAGACCTGTTTTAGACCTCTTTTAGTCCTGTTTTAGACCTGCTTTAGACCTGCTTTAGACCTGTTTTAGACCTGCCCTAGACCTGCTTTAGACCTGTTTTAGTCTCTGTTCTGATCCTCTGTTTTGACTTAAATATAAAAACATTATATTTTCCTTAAACTTTGTCTGAACCCTTCACACGTTGCAGCAGCGACAAGTGTGATTTTCACAGGTTTGAGACAAACAGAGGGTCTCTGTCTCACCAATCTCTCTAGTCTCATTCTGGTCTCTCTCCCCTCTCTCTCGGGTCAGTCTTGTCTCTCTCTGGTTAGGCAACAGACGCCATGTTAAATGTTTTCTTCCAGTTCACATGCAGCTGTGTTTTTATATTTTATCAGCGCCTCTTCAAACTTTTTCTCCCTCTCCCTCTGGTGTCCTTCTCTCTCTCTCTCTCTCTCTCTCTCTCCTGTCTCTCTCTCTCTCTCTCTCTCTCCCCATGCTTTCTCTGGTGTCTCTCTGTTCCCTCTCTGTTTTCTCTGGTGTCTTTCTCTCTCTCTCGTCTCTCTCTCTCTGCTCTCTCTACTCTCTCTCTCTCCCTCTCCCTCTCTGCTCTCTCTGGTGTCTCTCTCTCTCTGCTCTCTCTCCTGTCTCTCTCTCTCTCTCTCTAGTGTCTCTCTCTCTCCTGTCTCTCTCTGTCTCTCTCTTCTCTCTCCTGTCTGTCTCTGTCTCTGGGTCCTCCTCCCTCACAGTGTGGTTCTGGTCTCTCTCCTCTGCAGTTGTTCTGTTTTTTTTTTTTTTACCTGCGTCTGTTGTGAGAAACATCTGCTCGTTCTCATTCTAGTCTCTGTCTGTGATTCTTTTGTCACGCTTTGTTCTCGTTCTTTCTTTAACTTTTCTCTCTGGTCTCTCTTCGGCCCCTCTAAAGACTTTCTCTATGGTTTCTCTTTCTGGTCTCTCTCTCTCTGGTGTCTCTCTTTAGTCCCTCCTAGAGTCTCTCTGGTCTCTCTTTTTCTCCTAACTCTCTATAGTCTCTCTCTCTATCAATCATGTTCTCTAGCATTATTCCTGTATAAGTATCCCTGTATGTCTTCTGCTCTGGTCTCCCTCCTCTCTCTGTCTCTCTCTCTGTCTCTCTCTCTTTTCACCTTCACTATACTCTCTATGAATTCTTTAACTTCTTTCTCTCTGTGTTTTCTCTGCTGTCGTCCTGAAACCAGCAGCCCGTGTCTGAGCAAGGAGGACAGAGGAGAGGAGAGAAAGAGGAGAGAGAGGGGGAGAGAGAGAAAGAGAGGGGAGAGGGTAGAGAGGAGACAGGGGAGAGAGAGTCCCTGAAAACCAGCGGCCCGTAGCAAGGAGGACGGAGGAGAGGAGAGGATAAAAAAGAGGAGAGGAAGAGAGAGAGTAGATGACACACAGAGGATTGGACGGACAGAGTGTGACATCACAACAGCGTCTTATTACAGAAGAGGCCAATTTGAGCTGGAGCCCATATATGGTCATTATTCCCCACGACATTATCTTACCGTTTACTTTTACATATGAGCCAATAGGAGCTGAGAGCTGATTGGCCGAGTGAGGGTGGTCCTCTCTTTTATTCTTTCTGAAAAAGCTGATCCAAAGATGAGATAGAAAAACACAGCACTTGTCCAGATGAACGAGTCCAGTTCTGCCCTTGTTTACACCACCACGGTCTCCATGGCGATGCTTCTGTAAAAGTGTCGTTCATTTAGGCCTTGTCCTTGCCCCGCTGATGTACTCCTGTACTTTTCATCTTGCTGTACTTTTCATCTTGCTTTACTTATCTACTTGTCTTGTGCTCACTGGGGACTTTTACACTTGTGATTTTACTGCAAATGGCAAATAAATTGAATCTGAATATAAATCTTCTCTCTGTTTTCTCTCTGGTCTCTCTCCCTGTGCTCTATCTCTGTTCTCTCTCTCTGTTGTCTCTGGTCTCTCTCTGTGGTCTCTCTCACTGGGCTCTCTCTCTCTGGTTCCTCTCTCTGATCTCTCTGGTCCCTCTCTCTGGTCTCTCATAGTCTCTCTGGTCCCTCTTTCTGGTCTCTCTCCCTGTTTTCTTTCTGGTCTCTCTCTCTGGTCCCTCTCTCTGGTCTCTCTCACTGGGCTCTCTCTCTGGTCCCTCTCTCTGGTCTCTCTCTTGTCTCTGGAGAGGGATTGAACAGGAGAGGACATAAAACAGCTCCTTCGGGTTCTTTTGTACAATTTTTAAAGTTCTAGAAAATGGAACGCCTCTGATATAAGCCTTGAACTTTTGCACATGTCGCATTTACAACAGAACTGCTAATGCATCAGTCCAAACACAATGGTGATAAACTACTACTGTAGCCACATCTGCCCTGGGGCACACTGACAGGGGTGAGGCAACCACACTTCTGCAGTCGCCCCACTGTGGTACCTGCATGGATCTATAATAATAACTGGATAGGGTATTACTAGCTTATAGATGTCCCACCTACGTGCACAGGGGGCGCCCGTAGTACTGCAGACTAAATTCATGTGGGCTACCCAGAAAAAAGTTCCAAATAACTCTATGTAAACTAAAACAGAACCTACAGCCTACCTACCTAAAGGTCAGATTCTGTGGGGATCTTAGTGTCCCTTGTCATCCTGAACTTTTTTTCTTCTTAAATCCTTTCGTTTTATTTAAATCCACACTTTACTACCACAAACTCTGCTCCTGTCCTTCCCGCTCTGACTCCGCTCTGCTGCTGCTCTGATCAGCAGCTCTGATTGGTTAAAGCGCGGCCGAGCCCCTCTGTGCATGTGCATGAGAGCGTATTTGGCGCAACGCATCATGAGAGCTCGTCCACTGCGCAGAACCGGGAGGACCAGACGATGCCCAAATATAGGCAAGTTCCGCTGATCTTTTGGTCCTGGTGAAGTCCCATGCCCTTCTGAGCACAAGCCATTCATTTGAATACGGCGCCATCTTGGATCACCGGGGCTTGGGTACCTGATGTCCCCAGAGGTCTACCATCACAGTACTAACCAGGCCCTGCCCTTCACAGCTTCAGAGGTCACCCTCTCCCTTTTCTCCTCTCTCCCCTGTCTCCCCTCGCACCTCTCTCCTCTTCCCTCCCTTCCCTCTATCCTCTCTCATCTCTCCCCGTCCTCCCCTCTCTCCTCTCTCCCCTCCTCTTGTCTCCCCTCTCCCCCCCTTCTCTCCCCTTTCTCTCTCCTCTCCCCATCTCTTCTCCTCTCTCCTCGCTCTCTCTCTTCTCTCCCCTCTCTCTCCTCTCCTCTGTCTCCACTCTCTTCCTCTTCTCTCTCCTCTCTCTCTCCCCTCTCTCTCTCTTCTCTCTCTCTCTTCTCTCCTCTCTCCCCTCTCTCTCCCCTCGCGCCTCTCTCCTCTCCCCCTCCCTCCCCTCTATCATCTCTCTTCTCTCCCCGTCCTCCCCTCTCTCCTCTCTCCCCTCTCTCCTCTCTCCCCTCTCTCCTCTCTCTCTCCCCTCTCTCTCCTCTCTCTCTCTCTCTCCTCTCTCCCCTCTCCACTCTCTCTCCCCTATCTTCTCTCTTCCCTCTCTCCCCTCTCTCTTCTCGCTCTCCTCTCTCTCTCCCTCTCTCCTCTCTCTCTCTCTCTCTCTCTCTCTCCTCTCTCCCCTCTCTCTCTCCTCTCTCCCCTCTCTCTCTCCTCTCTCTCCTCTCTCCCTCTCTCTCTCCTCTCTCCCCTCTCTCTCTCCTCTCTCCTTTCTCCCCTCTCTCTCCTCTCTCCCCTCTCTCTCTCGTCACTCCCTTCTCTCCCCTGTTTATGTCTGGTTCTTCTCATAGTTGTTTCTCTCTTTTCACTGTCTTGTTATGATCCTTGTTCTGATATTTTATTTGCGACTGTTTTAAATTCATTTTGCGAAACATTGAGTAAAAGCTGTTTGAAAACATTGATTTGTTTGAGGCGTATAATGGAGTCAGAGTCAGAGGAGGACGTCAGGATCACGATCAATGACTATTTCAGACTCAAAGCACAAAACACACATTTTAGTTGTGTCTATGCTCTCTCTCTGTTCTCTCTCTGGTCTCTGTCTCTGTTCTCTCTCTGTTCTCTCTTTGGTCTCTCTTTGGTCTCTCTGGTCTCTTTCTCTTTGGTTTATATCTGGTCTCTCTCTGGTTTCTCTTTGGTCTCTCTCTGGTCTCTCTCTGGTCTCTCTGGTCTCTCTCTGGTCTCTCTCTGGCCTCTCTGGTCTCTCTCTGGTCTCTCTGGTCTCTCTGGTCTCTCTGGTCTCTCTCTGGCCTCTCTGGTCTCTCTTTGGTCGCTCTCTGGTCTCTCTCTGGCCTCTCTGGTCTCTCTGGTCTCTCTCTGGCCTCTCTGGTCTCTCTGGTCTCTCTCTGGTCGCTCTCTGGTCTCTCTCTGGCCTCTCTGGTCTCTCTCTGGTCTTTCTCTGGTCTCTCTCTGGTCTCTCTCTGGTCGCTCTCTGGCCTCTCTCTGGTCTTTCTCTGGTCTCTTTCTCTTTAGCTTCTATCTGGTCCCTATCTTTGGTTTCTCTGGTCTCTCTCTGGTCTTTTTCTCTTCGGTCTCTATCTGGTCTCTATCTCTCGTCTCTTTCTCTTTCTCTCTGGTCTCTCCCTCTCTGGCTCTTATTGACTTCCATGTAAACAAAACTCCTCTATTTCAGTAACCGTTTGTGTCACACTCTTAAATCTGTGGTTTATCGCTGTATTGCTAAGATGGTTGCTAAGACAGTTGCAAAGATGGTTGCTAAGTCAGTTGCTAATTCAGTTGCTAACTTGTTTGCTAAGTCGGTTTCTAACATGATTGCTATCTCGTTGCTAAGCTGGTTGCAAATGTCAGTTGCTAACTTGATTGCTAAGTCAGTTGTTAAGCTGGTTACTATTACTACTGGTTGCTAGCTCGATTACTAAGCCGGTTGCTAGCTCGGTTGCTAAGCTGGAGTTTTCCCCACATATCATTGTAGTAGAGTAGAGCTCTCATGTCTGTGGTATAAACGGTCTGACATTTCAATGGAGGGATTGTACATTTGTTTTGCAGATCGGCTTCAAATGTCAGACTTTAACTTTCTTTGTGCCGAGGTTTCTCTCCATTTTCTGGAAGTTAGCGCAATTGGATCTGGATCTTTTATTTTTAAAACCAGTTTAAAGTGTTGTACATTATACACAGGAAAGATATAGACAAACGATTCTGCCTATCCCTGTCTATCACCTCTCTCTTGTCTCTCTGGTCTCTCTGGAGAGAGGTCTCTCTCTCTCTCTGTTCTCTTTTTCTCTCTGACTTCAGTCCTGGATCTACAGCCTCAGTCCTGGGTCTACAGTCTCAGTCCTGGGTCTACAGCCTCAGTCCTGGGTCTACAGCCTCAGTCCTGGGTCTACAGCCTCGTCGTCACAGATTACTAACACAAATCAGATAAAAAGACACGACTTGGGCTTTAAAATTGCAGTAGACGAGTGGAGAATTCCCAGATGTGATGCACCCATTGTTTATTCATAGTGTATTAGTCCACATTAAACACATGTTATTAAAAATGTAGGTCTCATTTGGTCTTCGGCTCGAGCGTGCGGCGCTTCAGATCTCTTCAGCTGTCGTCTGTGCTCTGGATGATTTCCTTTGAGCTCCATCAGTTTGTTATTATATATTTTTACTGTAGAAATGACATGTGTGGCTTTTACATATGTCTGAACCACAGACTCTACAGTACTCTACTCTACAGTACTCTACAGTACTCTACTCTACAGTACTCTACTCTACTCTACAGTACTCTACTCTACTCTACAGTACTCTACAGTACTCTACTCTACTCTACAGTACTCTACTCTACAGTACTCTACACTACTCTACAGTACTCTACTCTACTCTACAGTACTCTACTCTACAGTACTCTACTCTACAGTACTCTACTCTACTCTACAGTACTCTACTCTACTCTACTCTACTCTACTCTACTCTACTCTACTCTACTCTGCTTTACTCTACTCTACTCTACACTACACTACACTACACTACTCTACTCTACTCTACAGTACTCTACTCTACACTACTGTACTCTGCTCTACTCTACTCTACTCTACACTACACTACACTACTCTACTCTACTCTACACTACTCTACTCTACACTACACTACTCTACTCTACTCTACTCTACTCTACTCTACTCTACTCTACTCTACTCTACTCTACTCTACTCTACTCTACTCTACTCTACTCTACTCTACTCTACTCTACAGTAGAGTAGAGGAGAGGGAAAGAAGAGAGAGAGAGAGGGGAGAGAGAGAGAAGATGAGAGGGTCCCTCTCCCTCCTGTACTTTTCTTTGACGTCGCTCTGTCTTCAACTTTTGGAATCAAACTCATCATTTATTCAGAATCCTTCCCTGAAGACGGCCGCTTTGTTCTGGGGCAGTTTTCTATTGAATCGCTTCTTTTTCTTTCACTTTTAATTATTGACACAGATCCCGGGGCACAGATCCTGAGGCACAGAACCACTGCGGAGGATCCAGAGGACGAAGTGGGAGGCAAAATGGCCGCCGGTGCTCTCCAGAGACTTCTGTTTTAGCATTTTTAAACTATCTATCCAGGAAGTGAACCATCAGCAACACTTCACCCACTTTCTGCTGGATTTGAATGGACTTTGTGGGCAGCATGGTGGCTGAGTGGATAGCACTCTTGCTTCTCAGCAAGAAGGTCCTGGGTTCGAATCCCGGTCGGAACAGGCCCTTTCTGAGTGGAATTTGCATATTCTCCATGTATCTGCGTAGGTTTCCTCCGGGTGCTCCGGTTTCCCCTATCACTAAAACATCATGCACATAGGTGGTATGCATGGTATGAATGTAAATGAGAGTGAATGGATGGTGTTGATTGGGAGCTGATGGTCCAGTGTGTTCTTGCTTCTGTCATCACTGTGTGTGGAATAATTGGAACAATATCTGAACTCTGAACATTGTACCTTGGTCTGTAAAATGCGCTGTATAAATAAACATTACTTACTTACTTAGCCTGGTCGTACCACACCATAGTACAAATAACATTTTGTGCTAAGGTCTGGAGGTGCTCCATTGAGCTCAGTTTACAGATAGGAGGGGTTAACTTCTTTTGCAGAATGAAACGATTGGATCTGAGTTTACTGTGACGTATGTAGTGCGCCCGAGTCTGTGGTTAGCATTTAGCATTTAGCCTAGCCATCTCCTTTGCCGCTAAAGGAGCCCGTGGGGAGTAGCACAACAATTGTTTCTAGCGATTACATTTGCTAAACATTCGTATTGCTCCGGCTTCAATTTCTTGACCGAACCAGACCGGATTAAGTTACTATCGCATTTTTTGCCATTACCAAACTACGACCTTCTCGTTCAACGCAAACTCTTGACGTCACGCACAACTAACTACAACACCCACCTCCCGCGCTCGATGATTGGTCGGTTGAAATTCAAGCGATTGTAATCGCAAACACAGGGACCAGACCCAGACGTTACATGCAGTGAAATGATGATTGAACAGAGTGTACGGATGGCTAAGGCCAGGGTATGACTTACTTACTTTTTTGTAAATTTGTTGACTGGTCACTCTTTTTCTGGTGTCTCTCTCCGCTCTCCATCACTCTAGTCCCTCCCTCATCTCTCTCTCTCTCTTTCTCTGTTCTCTCTCTCTGGTCTCCACCATAGACTTTAGTATATATCTCCTACTGCACTTTTCCAACTGTTTTCAACCATAGACTGTATAGATGGATAATGCTAACCTGCTCGCTCAATGAAGCCTAAAGGGGAAATGCTCTTGGATAAGGTTTTGCTCCAGCTTTCTCTGGCTCCTATCAACTTGCATGTAAAAATAAATTCCTATAGATGGACAATGCTAACATAGACTGTATACAGATGGACAATGCTAACATAGACTATACAGATGGACAATGCTAACATAGACTGTATACAAATGGACCATGCTAACATAGACTGTATACAGATGGACAATGCTAACATAGACTATATAGAAACGGGTGTAGACAGGGCTCATGTCTGGGTCCCCGTCGTGTAAACGTTCTGCCATTTAGATTGAGGGATTCTACATTTGTTCTGAAGATTAGCGTCTGCGTCAAATGCCAGACTTTTAGATCATCTGGAAAAGTTTGGCAATCTAGTCTCTCTCTGCTCTTTTATTGTTCTCTCTCTCTCTCTTTCTGCTCTCTCTTTGGTCTCTCTCTCTGCTTTCTCTGGTCTCCCTAGTCTCTCTCGTGTCTATATATATATATATATATATATATATATATGTCTATATATATATATATATATGTGTATATATAGACATATATATGTATATATATATATATGTATATATATATATATATATATGTATATATGGAGGGCGACAGTAGCTCAGTTGGTAGAGCATTGGCCTTTGGGCCTGAAGGTCGTGGGTTTGAGCCCACCGTAAGACCTACTTCACGACTCCCACTGATGACTGCTGTCGTTGTGTCCTTGGGCAAGACACTTAACCCTACTTTGCCCAAAGCCCCAACTGAAAAGATCTCAGCTCCTGTGGACTCACCACCTGCAGGAGGATCAGTGAGGGGCTGGTGCTCTGTGGACTGGGTGCATCTCTGACTGCCGCCCCCCCCGACCCAGAAATGGATTAAGGGGAAGAAAATGGATGGATGGATGGATGTATAATTATTATTTTATTTTTATTTTTTGAAAGACGGCAATTGAAGCGTTTACAGCTAGCTAAGAACCATAGCTACTACTTATTTAATGTATTTTGTGTGCTCCCTGTGTGCTCTTACTACTGTCCTCCCGCTGTGGGAGGAATGAAGGATCTCTTATCTTATCTTTTCTTTGATCTCTATTCTCTCTCTTTTCTCCCTGTCTGGTCTCTCACTGGTCTCTCTAGTTTCTCTTCTGCTCTCTCTGTTCTCTCTCATCTCTCTCTGGTCTTTCTCTGGTCTCTGTTGTCCAGGGATGTCAAAGTCAGAGGCCAAAAGAACAAATTTGCTACAAGCCGAGGGCTGGACTGGTTCAATGTTTGTGAAAACATATCAATATGTTGCATATAACCTTTTTGAACCAATAAGACCTAACACACTGTGCTGTATTTTATTTAATGATTAAATAAATAATGCAATATTTTCGCAGGGCTCTGTTGGTAATTTTAAGTGAGAACAGGCTCAGAGAAAACACATGTCTTGAACATTAAATTAATTTTCTTATGGCTCTTATGTGCAGGCCGGTTCTAATACTAATCAAATATCATCCCAGGGGCCAAGATAATTCATCCCCTGGGCCTTGACTTTGACACCCATGGTCTAGTCTCACTTTGGTCTCTCTCTCTGCTCTCTCCAGTGTCTCTCTCTGCTCCCTCTGGTCTCTCACTCATCTCTCTCTCTAGTGTCGTTCTGCTCTCCCTTTGGTCTCTGCTTTGGTTGAAGATCAGTTGTTGTGAGCTTAGCACAGCCCACACTGTTACAGGAGGACAGCTGTTAGCGTGACATTAGCATAATATTAGCACAGATTCTTCACAGCTGCTGTCTCTGTGGTTCTAGGGTTCCTGAGCACAGGGGACCAGGCGGCGAAGGGAAACTACGGCCTCCTGGACCAGATCCAGGCTCTGCGCTGGATCAAAGAGAACATCCAGGCTTTCAACGGAGACCCCAAACGAGTCACTATCTTTGGGTCCGGAGCTGGAGCCTCATGTGTCAGTCTGCTCACACTGTCACACTACTCTGAAGGTATGTGAAAAGGAGTGGGTGGCTCTCTGGTCTCTTCATGGTCTCTCTCTGGTTTCTGTCTGGTCTCCCTATTTGGTCTCTCTCTGGTCATTCGCGCTGGTCTCTTTCTGGTCTCTCTATTTGGTCTCTCTGGTCTCTCTCTATTCTCTCTATCTGGTCTCTGTCTAGTCTTTCTCCCTAGTCTCTCTCTGGTCTCTCGCTAGTCTCTCTCCCTAGTCTTTCTCGAGTTTCTCTCTCTAGTCTCTCTCAGGACTCCCTCTAGTCTTTCCCAGGTCTCTCTATAGTCTCTCTCTTGTCTCTCTCAGGCATCCCGCTCGTCTCTCTCTCTAGTCTCTCTCTGTGGTCTCTCTCTGGTCTCTCTCTCAGGTCTCTCCCTCTGGTCTCTCTCTGGTCTCTCTCTCTAGTCTCTCCCTCTGGTCTCTCTGGTCTCTATCTCTAGTCTCTCTCTGTATTCTCTCTCTCTGGTCTCTCTCTCTAGTCTCTCTCTGTGGTCTCTCTCTGGTCTCTCTCTCTAGTCTCTCTCTGGTCTCTCTCTCTCTAGTCTCTCTCTGTAGTCTCTCTCTCTGGTCTCTCTCTAGTCTCTCTCTCTGTAGTCTCTCTCTCTGGTCTCTCTCTCTCATCTCTTTCTGGTCTCCCTTTCTAGTCTCTTTCTGTAGTCTCTCTCTCTAGTCTCTCTGTTGTCTCTCTTTCTGGTCTCTCTCTCTAGTCTCTTTCTGTAGTCTCTCTCTCTAGTCTCTCTGTTGTCTCTCTCTCTGGTCTCTCTCTCTAGTCTCTTTCTGTAGTCTCTCTCTCTAGTCTCTCTGTTGTCTCTCTCTCTGGTCTCTCTCTCTAGTCTCTTTCTGTAGTCTCTCTCTCTAGTCTCTCTTGTTGTCTCTCTTTCTGGTCTCTCTCTCTAGTCTCTTTCTGTAGTCTCTCTCTCTAGTCTCTCTGTTGTCTCTCTCTCTGGTCTCTCTCTGCGAGTTAGGGACTTGTAACATGGATTTTAAATCATTCTATTGTTCTGGTTTGAAAGTTACATACCCCAGCTTTAAAACATCAAAAACAAAGTTCTCACCCCCTCCTCCTCCTCCCCCTTATCTCTCTCTCTAGTCTCTTTCTGTAGTCTCTCTCTCTAGTCTCTCTGTTGTCTCTCTCTCTGGTCTCTCTCTCTAGTCTCTTTCTGTAGTCTCTCTCTCTAGTCTCTCTGTTGTCTCTCTTTCTGGTCTCTCTCTCTAGTCTCTTTCTGTAGTCTCTCTCTCTAGTCTCTCTGTTGTCTCTCTCTCTGGTCTCTCTCTGCGAGTTAGGGACTTGTAACATGGATTTTAAATCATTCTATTGTTCTGGTTTGAAAGTTACATACCCCAGCTTTAAAACATCAAAAACAAAGTTCTCACCCCCTCCTCCTCTTCCCCCTTATCTCCCCCTCCTCCCCCCTCCTCTCCCTTCTGTGTTAAATATTGGATCAGAGAGATTGGCGTCTCACAGACTTCAAACATGGCTGCTCTAATAGAATTGAACAAACCACATAACGAGGCCCTTTGTGAGTTTAAAGAAGAAGTGAAAATACTCGAGTACTCTCAGGGTCTCTCTCGTTTTCTTCCGAAGCGATGGTCTTTGTGGAAAATTGTTATTAGTAGTCCTGTTACAAAAGCTGGAGACTGGAGAAACAGTGAGAGAGGAGTCTACGGACCGACTCAGACCTTTGTAACATCATCCCGATCAAAAAGCAATAGTTTCACATTGTGTAACTATGGAAACGGTCAAAAGTCAGGTTTTAGTCTCAGGATGCAATCACACAATCACAACCAGCCATCCATGTCCAGGCCCCTCTGGTCTCTCTCTAATTTCTCTCTGTGGTCTCTCTGGTATGTCTCACTCTGGTCACTCTCTGGTCTCCCTCTCTCTAGTCTCTCTCTCATCTTTCCATCTATCTCTCTGGTCTTTCTCTGATAAGATAAGATAGACGTTATTGATCTCTACTCTCTCTCTCTCTGCTCTCTAGTCTCTTTGCTCTCTCTACCTTCTCTCTCTCAAATCGCTCACGTCTCCCTCTGCTCGATCAGCTCTCTCTCTGCTCTCTAGTCTCTCTTTAATCTCTTATGTCTCTCTCTCTAGTCTCTCATGTCTCTTTCTCATTTACCCTCTGGTCCCTCTCTCTTTAGTCTCTATCTGTGCTCTCTCTCTCTTTAGTCTCGCTCTGGTCTCTAGCTGCGCTCTCTCTGCTCTCTCTCTCTCTTTAGTCTCTTTCTAGTCCCTCCATCTGCCCTCTCTGGTCCTTTGATCTCTCTCTTTCTCTCTCTCTTTAGTCTCTTTCTAGTCCCTCCATCTGCTCTCTGTAGTCTCTCTGGTCCCTTGATCTGCTCTCTCTCTCTCTCTCTCTTTAGTGTCATTCTAGTCCCTATATCTGCTCTCTCTATAGTCTCTCTCTCTGTTCCTTTTATCTGCTCTCTTTCTCTCTTTAGTCTCATTCTAGTCCCTATATCTGCTCTCTCTGTAGTCTCTCTCTGGTCCTTTTACCTGCTCTCTTTCTCTCTTTAGTCTCTTTCTAGTCCCTCCATCTGCTCTCTCTGGTCCTTTTATCTGCTCTCTCTCTCTCTCTCTCTTTAGTCTCTTTCTAGTCTCTTTCTAGTCCCTCCATCTCTCTGTAGTCTCTCTCTGGTCCTTTTACTTGCTCTCTTTCTTAGTTTCTCTATCTGCTCTCTATCTCTCTTTCTTTAGTCTCCCTGTAGTCTCTCTCTCTCTGCTCTCTCCATTCTCCACCACTCTATATAACCCCCTCTCTCCCCCCTCTCCTCCCCCCCAGACATGTTCCAGAAGGCCATCATCCAGAGCGGCACGGCCCTCTCCTCGTGGGCAGTGAACTACCAACCCGCCAAGTACACCCGGGTCTTGGCAGAGCGCGTGGGCTGCAACCTGCCGGACTCCCTGGACCTAGTGTCGTGTCTGCAGGCCAAGAGCTACCGCGAGCTGGTGGAGCAGACGGTGAGCCCGGCCAAGTACCACATCGCCTTCGGGCCGGTCATCGACGGAGACGTGATCCCCGACGACCCCCAGATCCTCATGGAGCAGGGGGAGTTCCTCAACTACGACATCATGCTGGGGGTGAACCAGGGGGAGGGGTTTAAGTTTGCCGACGGCATCGTGGACAGCGAGGACGGCGTCTCGGCCAACGACTTCGACTTCGCCGTCTCCGACTTTGTGGATCATCTGTACGGATATCCAGAGGGCAAGGACACGCTGAGGGAGACGATCAAGGTGAGGGAGGGGTAGGGCACGCTGAGGGAGACGATCAAGGTGAGGGAGGGAGGGGGAGGACAGGCTGAGGGAGACTATCAAGGTGAGGGAGAGAGGGGGGGAGAAGGCTGAAGGAGACTATCAAGGTGAGGGAGGGAGGGGGAGGACAGGCTGAGGGAGACTATCAAGGTGAGGGAGAGAGGGGGGGAGAAGGCTGAAGGAGACTATCAAGGTGAGGGAGGGAGGGGGAGGACAGGCTGAGGGAGACTATCAAGGTGAGGGAGGGAGGGGGGGACAGGCTGAGGGAGACTATAAAGTTGAGGTAAGGGAGGGGGAACAGAGGAGAGGAGGGGAGGGGAAAGAGGGGGAGACTATCTGGAGGGGAAGGCTACACTGGTGGAGATTAGGCAACCCGGGGGGGGGGGGGGGGGGGGGGGGGGGGGGGGGGGGCTATCATGCCAAAACCTACACCTGCGAAGGGTAGCCTTGCTAAAGCTAACCAGGAGGCTATCTGAAGGGCAAGGACACGTTTTGGGGGAGACTATTAGGGTGAGAAAGGGGGAGAGTGGGCTAGTGAGTAACAGTAGGAGTAGTAGTATGAAAATATATAATCTCAACAAAAAAACAGATGAATGTGCTGTTAACCCTGGGGTCTCTCTCTTTCTCGCTCCCTCTCTCAGTTCATGTACACAGACTGGGCAGATAAGGAAAACCCAGAGACTCGGCGAAAGACTCTGGTCGCACTGTTCACGGATCACCAGTGGGTGGCGCCAGCAGTCGCCACGGCAGACCTTCACGCTCAGTACGGCTCTCCCACGTACTTCTATGCCTTCTACCATCACTGTCAGAGTGACATGAAGCCGAGCTGGGCCGACGCAGCACATGGTGACGAGGTGCCCTACGTGTTCGGGATCCCCATGATTGGACCCACAGAACTGTTCAACTGCAACTTCTCCAAGAACGACGTCATGTTGAGCGCTGTCGTCATGACCTACTGGACCAACTTTGCCAAAACAGGGTGAGAAACACCTGCTAATGATGTTAATGAAACTAAAGCTAACCATGCTAAAGCTAAAACTGGCAACATATACTGAATCCGTACTGGAAGGGCTAAAACTAATGCCCCAAATCCAGGTCAATTACACCTGCTTAAGCTAATGATGCTAAAACAAACAGTTTGGCTAACTGGCCAAAACCGAGTGATTTCCATCTGTTAATGATGCTAAAGCTAACACTGTAAATATATACTTTATCCTTACAGAAAATGATAAATCTAATGCCCCAAAACCACGTCAGTTACACCTAATAAAGGTAAAGATGCTAATGCTAACCACGCTAATGCTGACTATGCATAAGCTATCAATTGAGCTAACATGCAAAAACTGGGTACACCTGCTCAAGTTGATGATTCTAGCACAGGGGTGTCCAAAGTGGGGCCCGCCGGACGACACTAAACTAATGTTGAAATGTACTGTCTGTGGCCCTCAGAGACTGCACTTAAACATCTATATAACTGAAGTTGCTTAGGCGCAGCAAACCCATCCTGAGTAATGTCCAGTGCTTTAGTGATGTATCCAGATACAGGCCTCACTCACGGTTCAATCAACTTGCACTAAAATGTTTTTAAATCAAACACACTTATCAGAACAATTGGGTGCACCTTTAGTTGTTTTTTTTCAGTTTGAGAGAATCTCCCATGAGCCTTTTGGGCTTGTAGGAAAGTATTGACCAGATGCATCAACGTCATCCAGTCACGTGATTGTGAATGAGCTTACAGAATCAGAATCAGAATCAGAATCATTTTTATTGCCACGTAAGTAACAGGAGGTCACAGACTTGGAAATTGCTTTGGCTCAGTGCAACAGTCAAAAAGAGATAATAAAAATAAGAATAAAAAACACTTCTAAAGAATCAATTTAAATTTAAAATAGAGTTACAGTTACTATTTACAATATACAAGTGCACATGGTGCACACAATGTAAGGTGACAGCAGTACAGTGAAGTAAAGTGACGTATGATGGGCAGTAAAGTGACTTTATAAAGGGCGGGGGGACAGGTTAAGAAGTGTTCAAGAGTCCAACAGCAGAGGGGAAGAAACTGTTCTTGTGGCGGGAGGTTCTAGTCCTGATGGACCGCAGCCTCCTGCCTGAGGGGAGTGGTTGGAATAGTCCATGTGCAGGGTGAGAGGGGTCGTATTACGGCGTGTTACGGCGGAAGTATTGGAAACTAGCATTGCGGCGAGAGCAAAACGGACACAATTCTTAAAAACGGAGCTTCCTCTCCTAAATCGAGAAGTGGCTGCTTCAAGCACATGTTCGATTACGTTATAGGTGGAAGTAGGACATCAGGGGTCAGGGGTCACAAAGAGCAGTATTTGGAGAAGTGAAGCTGAGCTGGATGTTGACTCGTACCTTCTCCCTCAGTCAATTTTATCGATTAAATAAAATGTCTATTTTTGCCCGAATTCACCCCACATGGTCTATATCATTATCGTTAACAATGCATCCCCTTACACTGGAGCAGATTTATACGTACATTTTGCTGGTAGCATTAGCAATAGTCCACTTTTCTGTGGCTTTTTTGTCTACAGCCAAACATGATACGTACTGACGGAGAGGAAAATAGTGAAACACGCAATTGACTTAAAAGATGAAAATGTCAATGTTGCAGCGCACATACAGGACAGTAGTAAGAGACACGTTTGACGTGTGTCATTGTCCTCCAAATGAATGGAAATAAAATAAATACAAACTTGTGATTGCTTTATCTTGTATAAAGTGTTCGCTGCATATTAGGGAGTACTTGGATGGGTCCCAGTCCTTTTGGTTGATTGCCGCCATCGTCGTCTTCTGTCTTCATGACGAGCAGGTATCAGATAAAAAAGCTTATGTCCGTGCCTGTTAGTATAATCAACCGCACAAAATGTCACAGTTCTGGCTGTAATGCGCTGAAACAGGTTGTTTTGGTCAGGTGTCCGTAGGCTCGCAGTTAGACTTCTGCCGTCTGTCATGGAGAGTGGGCGTGGCCAGGACGTCACATGCAAGGGGTCAATTGGAAAGCCAAGCGGAGAAGTGCGCCCCTAGTGTTAGGTTTCTGTTTTGCATGTTGAAGTACCTGCGCTTTTGAGCACCTAGCTGTTGTCAGAGCAACACGCAGCCTGAGCCTCCACATTCACGTTGGTTCCTGTGTCAGTGTGCATTAATGGCCAGGAAGTAAGGGCCATGTAGGATTTGTTGATATGTGCAGCTTCAGCCATTAGTCTGTGTTTATACTTAACAGACTTTACTCGTGTTTTCTTATGTCACAGTTTATCATTTGTGACGTGATGTACCTACTTCAAGTAGTATTCAAATGTGAAATATTTGGTTTTACTGCTAATTTATAGTTCAAAGTTTATTCTATTGTACGGAAGCTTGTTAGGTTCACTTGTGAGTGTGTTTTTTTTTTTTCACTGGTATCATGTTATTTCATGAAAGTATCATGAAATAACATGATACCAGTGAAAAAAAATTTATATATCATGTTATTTCATGATACACAACTATCATGAAATAACATGATAGTTGTGTATCATGAAATAACATGATAGTTGTGTATCATGAAATAACATGATAGTTGTGTATCATGAAATAACATGATAGTTGTGTATTATGAAATAACATGATAGTTGTGTATTATGAAATAACATGATAGTTGTGTATCATGAAATAACATGATAAATTGGTATCATGAAATAACATGATAGTTGTGTATCATGAAATAACATTATATTTATCATGTTATTTCATGAAAGTATCATACCAGCGGAAAAAAAAAACACACTCACAAGTGAACCTAACAAGCTTCCGTACTATTGCTAGTTTATTATTAGCTACATCTATTGTGCATATGACAATCTGCTGCTGCGTCTTGTGTCAAAATTAAAGGGCATGTCTGTAACTTTTTAGGAGCAACCAAATAAGTGCTGTATTTTTCTAATATTGCGTTATAGACCCAATTTATAGCTGTTATATGATTATATATATTTGATTATAACTTGTAAATAAGCTACAACAGAAAGTAATGCATTTAATTGTTTAACAGTAATTAAAGGAACTTGATCAAATTTACATTTATTTGTGTTTCACGTGTAATTTTGGTGTTTTTGGCCCGTGGCCCACTGGCAAATTTCTACTTTGGCCCTTGGAAGCAAAAGGTTTGAGCACCCCTGTTCTAGCGCTAATGAAAAATACCTGCTGATGCTATTGTGGATATTGCTGATGATGCTAAGCTGACAATACTAAAGCTAACACTTACAATTTCAGTCGTAGCAGCAGTCGTAGCAGTAGTCGTAGCAGCAGTCGTAGCGGTAGTCGTAGCAGGAGTCGTAGCAGTAGTCGTAGCAGTAGTCCTAGCAGCAGTCGTAGCAGTAGTCGTAGCAGTAGTCGTAGCAGCAGTCATAGCAGTAGTCGTAGCAGTAGTCGTAGCAGCAGTCGTAGCAGTAGTCTTAGCAGTAGTCGTAGCAGTAGTCGTAGCAGTAGTCGTAGCAGTAGTCGTAGCAGTAGTCGTAGCAGTAGTCGTAGCAGCAGTCGTAGCAGCAGTCGTAGCAGGAGTCGTAGCAGTAGTCGTAGCAGTAGTCGTAGCAGTAGTCGTAGCAGTAGTCGTAGCAGTAGTTGTAGCAGTAGTCGTAGCAGTAGTCGTAGCAGCAGTCGTGGCAGTAGTCGTAGCAGTAGTCGTAGCAGTAGTCGTAGCAGGAGTCGTAGCAGCAGTCGTAGCAGCAGTCGTAGCAGCAGTCGTAGCAGTAGTCGTAGCAGCAGTCGTAGCAGCAGTCGTAGCAGCAGTCGTAGCAGCAGTCGTAGCAGTAGTCGTAGCAGCAGTCGTAGCAGTAGTCGTAGCAGGAGTCGTAGCAGTAGTCGTAGCAGTAGTCCTAGCAGCAGTCGTAGCAGTAGTCGTAGCAGTAGTCGTAGCAGTAGTCGTAGCAGCAGTCGTAGCAGTAGTCGTAGCAGTAGTCGTAGCAGTAGTCGTAGCAGTAGTCGTAGCAGCAGTCGTAGCAGTAGCCGTAGCAGTAGTTGTAGCAGTAGTCGTAGCAGTAGTCGTAGCAGGAGTCGTAGCAGTAGTCGTAGCAGGAGTTGTAGCAGTAGTCGTAGCAGCAGTCGTAGCAGTAGTCGTAGCAGTAGTCGTAGCAGCAGTCGTAGCAGCAGTCGTAGCAGCAGTTGTAGCAGTAGTCGTAGCAGCAGTCGTAGCAGTAGTCGTAGCAGTAGTCGTAGCAGCAGTCGTAGCAGTAGTCGTAGCAGTAGTCGTAGCAGCAGTCGTAGCAGTAGTCGTAGCAGTAGTCGTAGCAGCAGTCGTAGCAGTAGTCGTAGCAGTAGTCGTAGCAGCAGTCGTAGCAGTAGTCGTAGCAGTAGTCGTAGCAGTAGTCGTAGCAGTAGTCGTAGCAGCAGTCGTAGCAGTAGTCGTAACAGTAGTCGTAGCAGGAGTTGTAGCAGTAGTCGTAGCAGCAGTCGTAGCAGTAGTTGTAGCAGTAGTTGTAGCAGCAGTCGTAGCAGCAGTCGTAGCAGCAGTCGTAGCAGTAGTCGTAGCACAGCAGTCGTAGCAGTAGTCGTAGCAGTAGTCGTAGCAGCAGTCGTAGCAGTAGTCGTAGCAGTAGTCGTAGCAGCAGTCGTAGCAGTAGTCGTAGCAGTAGTCGTAGCAGTAGTCGTAGCAGTAGTCGTAGCAGTAGTCGTAGCAGTAGTCGTAGCAGTAGTCGTAGCAGTAGTCGTAGCAGTAGTCGTAGCAGTAGTTGTAGCAGTAGTCGTAGCAGTAGTTGTAGCAGTAGTCGTAGCAGTAGTTGTAGCAGTAGTCGTAGCAGTAGTTGTAGCAGTAGTCGTAGCAGTAGTTGTAGCAGTAGTTGTAGCAGTAGTCGTAGCAGTAGTTGTAGCAGTAGTCGTAGCAGTAGTTGTAGCAGTAGTTGTAGCAGTAGTCGTAGCAGTAGTCGTAGCAGTAGTCGTAGCAGTAGTTGTAGCAGTAGTCGTAGCAGTAGTAGTAGCAGTAGTGTAGCA